AAGCACTTGGCCAGAACCAATTGAATCGAGACAGCTCACAACAAGCGCCTAGCAACAACACGAATAATTCGAACCGAAAGAGCAGCCACAGCAATTAAACAAAAGTATAAAAAACAACAAGAAAGACTAGCTAACTATCGGCACGACGAACTTTAAATACCCTTGTGGATATTTGACATACTGTTTTTATACTCAAGCTTTTCTTTTCTGTCTTTTCCTATTGGCTCCATATAATATAGTAGTCCGATTTGAAGGGGATAGGATAAGTAAGGAGAATAGATAGCCCATAATTGCTGATTTGGTCACAGAATCTTAAAAAACAAAAAAGCTCATCGCGAAGTTGTTAAGACTTTGCTCATAGATAGGGAACATTGTAAATGCCAATTTAGGATAAGTTATTTTACAAAATTAATTTTTGGACCGATTCATCATATTTTGATAGGATTTCTTTCATACATAACGAGCATGGGAAAACTAGCAATGGACAACACTGTTATTGAAAGAACTTAATTTATGACCGATCGTTCCTATTTCACCCATATGTAACCTATATTGATATATAATATAATATACATTGCTATGTACTTTGTACTTTATGGTGTCGATGACATTGCCTTCTATGCGTTACACATTTTGCGACATAATTATAATACCCTCTACAAAAGGGGTATACAAGCAAGAATAAACTGGAAGGCGTCGCAACAACGTCCCATACACGTATCATGTGATGTTTTGGGTACACCTAACACAAACGCAACTGGGAACCCCTAGCGCCAGAAGAAAGAAGTCAGCACAAATTGCATATGACAAACACAACGAAGTATTTCAGCGAAAATATCAAAACGCATCGAATTTTGCCTTGAACTTAAAACATAAAGAACTCGAAAGTAACGAACAAAAATTAATTACAATTCATCTATAATTAAAACATGATATTAATTAAAATTTTAAACATATTGTTGCTTGCCTTTTTTATAAATAAACTGAATGCCCTTTTTTAAAAATTAACAACGCGAGTTTTTTGTTAATCTGTTGGCATATTCATAGGATCTGTCAGTCTTTTCAAGTCTCACAAGCCTTTTGCAAATTGAGACATAAACAAAGAATACGAGTATTGAAAATAAACAATTTTTATAAAAGTTCACTGTTTTTTCGAATCTTTAGAAGGTTCTTTATCAATGCGCATTTGAATAATCACATTACTTGTCCGGAATGCTATCTCATATCAACAGCAGCGGACATGAATATTCATTTCATTTGAAAAACAGTCTATGAAGTAATTTGAATTTTCATTCAGACATATAAAAGTCACTGGAGACATGCCTGATTAAATCAAAATTGATAATATACCTAACGAAGGCTATCGCAAATCGTTCATCATTCGGGGGAAATCATTATATAAATAGAAAAAATCATTATCAGTTATCCGCTTTTATCGAAAAAGGCCCCACGTATGAAACGCAGCTTATCAGTGAAAATAATCAATTTGTGGCACTTACCCAATGCTTCCTGTGGGACTTGTGGGGTGGGTGTTTCCGTTTGAGGAGGATGAGCTGGCAGCTGCTGCTGCTGCTGTTCAATGCAAATTGCTGGCTGCGGCTGCGGTTGAATGATATGATGTGGAGGGGCTGCCTGCACCAGCATTGTCGGTGGCGGAGCATCAGGCAGTGTCCAAGCGACAGGTATGGCACCAACGGGCGCAGCCCCACAGTCAGACAGTTCATCATCGTACTAGAATAGTAAAAAGTTAATGAAGACAAATCGCTATCCAAGCAATGCGCCTACCTGTGGCACTGGACCGGCTACTGGATGCATTGCCTGTAGAGGCGCCAGCTGACCATCATCGTAGATCTGCATAACACCCATTTGCTGCTGCATCTCGTGTATTTGCTGGGAATCGTAAATGGGATAGTTGGGACTCAACATGCTGGACGTTTCGGAGGAAGCCAGCGAGGAGCTATTATGGTTGAGTTCATCGCCATTCGCTTGCGCCACTTCCGGATATTCTTCGGCATACATATGTGTTGGATGCCACAACTGCGCCTGCCGCTCATCAACAACAGCGCCCTGGGCTTGGCCACCGTCATCGGACACGTACTGATACTCCGACTGCGGCAGCACTTGCTGATAAAAATAGCCGCCCATGTAGTTATACATCTGTGCTCCGTTGTACAGTGGCATTGGTGAAATAAACAGAGGTGTGCCCGTGGCCTGATGTGCAGCAGCTGCCGCATTTGGCGGAGCTTGTATTGGGCCATGATGCGGCGCAAAATATGCGGCCTGATAACCGCCATATCCAGCGTACGGATGCGGCGCATAGTAGGACATTGGCTGCAATTGTGCCTCTGCCGGCGGTGGTGGTGCCAATTGCTGACCCATCTGTTCCGGCTGCAATTGCATGGCGCTCGGCGCGGGGCTTGCGCTCTCTGGTGGTAGCTGCTGCTGTGGGGGTTGCAACTGCAGTTGCTGTTGCATGTGTCGCTGTCCGTGATAGTCATTGCGACGTTGTCCACCACCGCCGCGTCCACGGCCACGTCCACGACCGCGTCCACCCATACCGGACGGAATGTGCCCATTCGGATTAACCTGGTGGAGCGGGATTGGCGGTAGCTGTTGCATTAACGGATTGCCCTGCAAGACAAACAGTAAAGTTAAAATTCATTTAATCACACTTGTTTGGCCCCGCCAGAGGGATTAAGTCAATTATAATTGCAGGCTAGCGGGTCCCAAACTCACCTGCTCCGGTGGCAGCTCGCCATGTGCACTCACATAATGGGGTGGTGCACCGCCTCCTGGCATATAAGTGTGCGGCCAGCCGTGGAGATTCACATTGGCAGTCACATTGTTCACAAAAACATTGTTGGGTATGGGCGCTGGTATCATCGCAGAATGATGGAACACAGGACCGTGTGCGCCTTGCGACATGTGCGGATGATGCGCTCCATACGCAGCGGGCATATGCAGATTTTGTGGCTGTTGATTGTAGACGGGCACAGAAGTCAGTGTGCTACCGTTGTTGTTATTGTTAGATGGTGAAACAATACTGTTGTTGGTATTGTTAATGGGCGGCGGCTGTGGCGTCGTTGGTGTGGACACAGGCGTCGCTGCTGGCGGCGGTTGTTGCTGCTGCTGCTGCTGTGGTTGCTGCTGCTGCTGCTGTGCAACCGGCTGCGTTTGCTGCGCCATAATTGGAACGACTGCGCTACACTTGCAACGCAGTTGACAACTCTGACGACTGTCGATGCAATTCAATTGGTTTTGGCGTTTCTGAACGTACCTCAGGATATGCACAGCACATGAACACTACAAACGCCAAACATTGAAGTTTATACTGTGAAACAACAAAAAAAAAATGTTAGGAAACGAAGCGCCAAAATTTGAGGTTAGGTCGAGACAACCGCAAAACATCTGGCAACACCGCACAGCTGTCGGGCCCCAGAAAGAAGCACAAAATACAAAAAGAGGCAAATAAACACCGAGAGCAAGTGCAAGAGAGAGCGAGAAGGAGTGTGGCCATACTGTACCGGGTGGGGTGACAGCCCCGCAAGACCCTTCTACGACCAAAACTGGCGTTCAAGTGTCAAAAATATATAAAACAAAACAATACGGTTTTGCATGTCCACGCTTTAAGCCGGCTGGCAAAAAAATTATTGGCTAACGTTTGACACACAAGTACACCCACAACTATTCACATATATACACACACACACGCACACAAAACACACATACCTGTACAACAGGCACCGCACTACGTCACTCAACTGGGGAAAAAAAATGTAATAAAGTTGCAGCCTGTAGACGACGCTTTTAATAAATGTCGAAATTCTAGCTACATAATTCGTATAGACTGCGTAACTTAAGCATGTAAATGCACGCATTCCAATGTCCAATGGCGGCGTCAGCGACCGAACCCAACGAAGCGAACACCACGTTGACGGCAAAAAGAGAGCGCGGCGGAATGTGCCGCAGCGAGGGGCTGGGGGCGAACGGGCAGCAACACTAGGGCAAGAAAATAAGTGTGCGGTGACTTACCTTTAATGGTCAGCCAATCGTAATTCAGTTCTGTAGCAAATCTTTCATGTTTTATGCGTGCGGGCGGCCTTTTGACAGAGCGACTGGCGGCTGCTGCCAATGAATAATTCGCGTTTAAGTTTCACTTGCCGCGGCACTTTTTTTTTTCTTAATGACACGACGAATTCTGCAGGCAATTTTTCCACTACGCTTTAGTCGCGTCGGCTGCTGATCTAATTAACACTGTTGCTCCCTGCTTGCGCCACCCGCACACGCACTAGTATGCAAATACGTTTTATACAAATTGTTAGCGCTTGCACAAACACTTAATTATTTTATTTGCATGTGCAACAAAAAAAATTCTTTTATTTCTTTTCTTTTACTAGTGGTGACAGTGTGACCTGTTAACCAACAGCAAGATTAACAGCGACTAAATATTAACATATTCTCAAACTGTTAAATAACAGCGTGAGCAATATTTTTCCTGAAAAACGGTTCCTATACTGGTTGTGTATGTGCTATTTCAAGGCTAAAACCTAACTTTTCGTTTATTCGAAAGCAAGGTTCATAAAATAGTTGTTTAAGAATAGCGACACAGATTCGAGTTTAAAATTAACAGCTGCCAGTTGGCTCCACACGCAGTCTCAAATTGCTGATCCAGAGGTAGTGCATAATAACATAAAAATAACAGATTCCTGTGCAATGATAACTGTGTAATTCAAGAATAAATCGATAACACTTGTGGACTCTGATACTAAAAATGTAATTTTTCACGATAAAAACTTGCAAATTTTGCTTTAAATATTAGTGCTATTGTTTTCCTATGCTTTTATTGCAAATCTGCCGTTGAAAATTTTGCGATTAAAGATATTTTGAAAAACTGTCCACTTTCGGTGTGACCGTGTTCATATATCGATAATTTAAATATTGGTCCAATTAGAATGTTTAATGTGATGAGCTACGATGTAAAAGAAATCGCGCAGCGCGTTAGCTTTTTTAGCTGCGCACATAATAGGAAATTTGCCTTTCGTTTTTAACATATATATTTACAGAGTAAAATACATTTGTAGAATACATCAAATTAAAGCTTTGACTTGCGCATGGCAAAATTGATTATAGCTTGCATGCATTCATCGTCGTACATACGTCTGAGCAGCGCTTCACACTCCGTATCATTGGCACGCACAAGATTATCCCGCAATCCCAGCTGAATAAGGCGCTTGCACTCCCGCATCGAATTGGGAGGCAGTTCAGCGTACTGGCGAATCTTTGGCCATACCACGGAATCCAATTCACTTAGTTTAAAGATGCGGGAAACAAAATTGAAATGGTATGCTTCCTGGGCAGAAAGCTTCTCATTTAGCACCAGCATCTCAGTAGCCTTTGATCGACCCATGATCAGTGGGAACGTAAAGCTGGAGCAGGCCTCTGGCACCAGACCAAGTTTGCTGAAGGGCGTCAGGAAATAGGCCTGAAAAGAAACAGCAACAGGTTTAATTATGATTCGAGACAACAACTTGTTGCCAAACCTCTTCGGCACACCAGGCCACATCGCTGAGCCCCACAATGGTGGAGCCTATGCCAATGGCCGGTCCATTGACCAGCGAAAAGATGAGCTTCGTGCAATTTATAAAACTGTTGACCATGGCTTTGAATGTCGCATTTGATTCCTTAAAGTAGGCATCCATGTCGCTGATCTCAGAACTCTGGGACAAATCATTGCCGGCGGTAAAAAAATCGCCAACACCGGTAAACACAACAATTGTGACGCCTTCATCCTCGTTGACAGCGCCCAAAACACGCGTCAGTTCTTTGTATCCATTGTAATTTATACAATTTTTCTTCCGAGGATTATTAAATTTGATAACGAGAATTTTACCCTCCTTCTGGACGAGTAGGTTCTTATAGCCTTCGTAAGGCATTCTTTGTTTACGTGTTTAAAGGTCGCCGGTATGATATCAAATGATTTTGTTATTCTACATTGAATAGAAAAATTGATATCTATAAAATACAATAAAGAGATATTCAGTATACAATATAACTCACAGCAGTGCTTTTTTATACTCTTGTACTTTGCATTTGTGCAACACAAACTGAGAGCGAAGTCCATTAACACATGTATACAAATCTAATCGAGATTTAATAGCTCAGCTCATTTTATGCCTCGTCCAATAAAATGGTATGTCAGTTAACAACTAAGCATAAATATATTGCCCTAGCAATTAAGTAGCTTCGTATTAACAATGCTGACGCGCCAGAACTGAGTTCAGCGCTCTGCGCTAAGAACGGCCAGCAGCGGTAAGCTGACACTGCATGGAATGCTGAGTCGGCTTGCCGACCATGCTTTGATGGCGTGATGCATTGAGGCTTAGGGTATTTGTATAATTTGCTTGTCCCCTAGTTTTTAGTTTTATATGAAGCGCGCAACACATAAGTCGCCGAAATAAATATACTGCTCCGGCATTGCCGATAAAACATATCTTTCGTAATATTACTGGATCAAGGAGAACATATTTTGATCAAGGGCAGCGCGGGATCAACGCAACTTACCCAAGATAACATTGTGTTACATCGCAGAACATACATTAATGAATAACTGGCGCCCAACCAATAAATAGGAACCCATACCATGTAAGTTCATAAGTGATTTCAGTTTGAAGAAATTATTCTCGAACGCCACGTACCGATACGTGTGATTTTTAAAAAAAAAAAAAAAAAAAAAAAAAAAAAAAAAAAAAAAAAAAATTGTAAAGTAAAGTAAATATTGCTGCTCTCTTCTGCCAGCATTTCATTCCTTTAAATCATTGCATACTTTCACTAAAAACTGTTGCATACTTTTACCAGCGTTCCTTGTCAATAAAGCATTGCATACCTTAAACGAATAATTATTGCATACTTTCGGCAGCATTACATTTTTTGCTGCATACCCCTAACAATTTTTTATAATAAATATTGCATACCCCAAGATTCACCAGTTTCCACTATTGCCAACAGCGTTACCTGCCGATCTTTCTCGATCGGCCTAAGTTTGAAAAGTGCCAACCATAAGCCAATGAGTTGGAATTATAGGGAGATAAAAGTCGAATATAATAGTGACGATAGCTGGGAGGGGGAAATCAATTGCTCAGTAGATCCTACTCCTGCAGATACCGTTGTAACTGAAGAAATGGAGCCGGCTCAAGTTCAGAATCTCATTGAGGGTGCCATCAGGCAAGCTTTAGCGCAACAACAAAATCAGTTTCAAGCACAAATAACCGCTTTAGCTTCACAAGTACAGAGTTTGCAGGTGGAGGCGCCGCAAATCGTCACATACGAGAAAATATCCGTCGATCCAAACGCCAAATGCGATATTCCCTTGGACATTATTAAATCTGTGCCGGATTTCTCCGGCGTACAGGATGAGTATGTAGCGTGGAGGCAAGCAGCCATCTACGCGTACGAACTATTCAAGAACTATCCAAAGAGCACTGCACACTACCAAGCGGTAGCGATCATTAGGAACAAAATCAAAGGCCCAGCTGGAGCCTTACTAGTGTCTCACAACACTGTCCTAAATTTCGATGCAATACTAGCTAGGCTAGATTGCACATACTCGGACAAAACATCCTTGCGCTTGCTGAGACAATGTTTGGAGTTAGTTACGCAGGGCGAAATGTCCCTGATGCAATACTACGATGACGTCGAAAAGAAACTCACGCTCGTAACTAACAAAATTGTAATGTCTCACGACCAAGAAGGCGCGGATTTGCTCAACCGGGAGGTCAGAGACGACGCCTTGCACGCCTTTATCTCCGGTCTTAGGAAGCCGTTGAGAGCGGTTGTGTTCCCTGCACAACCAAAAGATCTACCATCCGCTCTGGCCCTTGCCAGAGAGGCAGAAGCTAGCATTGAGAGAAGCATGTTCGCGAACTCTTACGCTAAAGCCTTGCAAGACCGAGCGCAAATTGCTGAAAGTAACAAAAACCGTGCCCAAGGCAAGCAAACCAGATTTAACAAAGATGAGCAAAATCAGGAGAGAAATCCCCATTTTGTGAAACGCCAAAAGGGCGGTCCCCAGCCCCAGGCCCCTAAAGATAATCAAACTGAGGCTCCACAGCCCATGGAAGTTGACTCTTCCTCCAGATTTAGACAAAAAACCGACTACAGCAAGCGTCAGGCTAATGAGTCCAACGCACCAAAACGCAAGAATTCGTCAGACCGTTCAACAGGTCAAAGACGACAACGCGTTAACAATGTCGTACAATCAGATTCCAAAGAAGCCGTAACAGAATTCGAGAAGGCGGCCAAAGAGGCAGTTGAAGAACTAGAGAGTGAGAACGAGTACGCACCTGGTGACGACTCGATTAATTTTTTAGGGAACACTCCCGGCTTCCGTACATTGAACGACGGTTGGCTGGGAGAACTCTGAAGATGTTGATTGACACTGGCGCGGCAAAAAATTATGTGAAGCCCTTAACAGAGCTAAAGACCATAACGCCGGTCGCCAAGTCATTCTCGGTAAACTCGATCCACGGGTCTACCGAAATCAAGCGCAAATGCTTGATGAACATTTTCCAACATACCTCCCCGTTTTTTCTCCTCGATACCCTAAGTTCTTTCGACGCCATCATAGGCTTCGACTTGCTAACACAAGCCGGAGTCAAATTGAACTTGGCAAAAAACACTCTGGAATACCAGAGTACATCCGAAAAACTCCAGTACTATCAATGTGCTGATGTGAACTTCACCGATGTCAACGACATCGTAGTCCCCCCTTCCGTAAAGAAAGAGTTCAGGGACATGATACTCAGAAACAAAAGAGCCTTCTCAAATGCAGACGAAGCTCTCCCTTTTAATACTGCTGTTATCGCTACAATCCGAACAGTAGACAACGAGCCTGTGTATTCAAGATACCCGAGTCTCATGGGTGTTTCTGACTTCATAAACAAAGAAGTCAAACAATTACTGGACGATGGCATAATCAGGCCCTCCAGATCGCCTTACAACAGCCCAACATGGGTGGTTGATAAAAAAGGCACTGACTCATACGGTAACCCAAAAAAAAGGTTGGTAATCGACTTCAGGAAACTGAACGAAAAAACCATACCGGACCGCTACCCCATGCCGAGCATCCCCATGATCTTAGCAAATCTAGGAAAGGCAAAATACTTCACTACCCTCGACCTAAAGTCGGGGTACCATCAAATTTACCTTGCGGAGCATGACCGCGAAAAGACTTCATTTTCAGTAAGCAGCGGCAAGTACGAGTTCTGTCGCCTACCATTCGGCCTGCGCAATGCAAGCAGCATATTCCAAAGGGCAATAGACGATATCCTGAGGGAACATATAGGAAAGATTTGCTTTGTCTATGTAGACGACGTCATAATTTTTTCTAAAAACGAAACGGAGCACCTTCAACACATTAACATTGTGTTAAAATGTCTAATCGACGCAAACATGCGTGTAGGCCCCGAAAAGACTCGTTTCTTCAAGGAAAGTATCGAATTCCTGGGTTTCATTGTAACCAAAGACGGAGCAACATCCGACCCCAAAAAAGTTAAAGCCATTCAGGAATTCCCTGAACCAAAGAATGTCTACAGCGTTAGGTCCTTCTTGGGGTTAGCCAACTACTATAGGGTCTTTATTAAGGACTTTGCCGCTATAGCGCGTCCGATATCGGACATACTTAAAGGGGAAAATGGTTCAGTTAGTAGGCACGTATCAAAGAAAATCCCTGTTGAATTTAATGAAGTTCAACGCGATGCATTTCACCGTCTGCGGAGTATTTTGGCATCAGAAGACGTCATGTTAATGTATCCAAACTTCCAGAAACCGTTCGATTTAACCACTGATGCTTCGGCCAGTGGAATTGGCGCGGTTCTTTCCCAAGGCAATAGGCCAATAACAATGATTTCTCGCGCCTTAAAACAGGCCGAACAAAACTATGCCACTAACGAAAGAGAATTGCTGGCCATTGTGTGGGCTTTAGGCAGATTGCAGAACTTTCTGTACGGTTCTAGGGAAATTAACATTTTCACGGACCACCAGCCGCTCACGTTCGCTGTGTCGGACAAGAACACGAATTCCAAGATTAAAAGATGGAAATCTTACATTGACCAGCACAATGCCAAAATGTTTTATAAACCGGGCAAAGAGAATCTGGTGGCGGATGCCCTTTCAAGGCAAAACATTAATGCTCTGCAAGATGGGCCCCGTTCGGACGCTGCAACCGTTCACAGCGAACTTTCCCTGACCTACACGGTCGAGACAACAGACAAACCTTTGAATTGCTTTAGGAACCAGATTGTCCTAGAGGAATCGCGTTTTCCGCTAAAGCGAAACTTGTTGCTGTTTCGCAGCAAAACACGCCACTTGATCAGTTACACTGACAAGAGCTCAATTCTCAAAACCCTCAAAGAAGTTGTGAATTCTGGAGTCGTTAATGCAATACATTGCGATCTTCCCACGTTGGCAAGTTTCCAACACGACCTGATTTTGTATTTCCCTGCTACCCAATTCTGGCATTGCAAAAATCTTGTGCAAGATATAACGGACAAAAACGAGCAGTTAGAAATCATCACTGCCGAGCACAATCGAGCGCACAGAGCAGCTCAGGAAAACATTAAACAAGTACTTCGGGACTATTATTTTCCCAATATGGCCAGTCTGGCCAAAGAAGTGGTTGCAAACTGCAGGGTCTGCACTAAAGCCAAATACGATAGGCACCCGAAGAAACAAGAACTCGGGGAAACGCCTATACCAAGTTATACTGGCGAAATGTTGCATATTGACATTTTCTCGACAGACAAGAAACAGTTCTTGACCTGCATAGACAAATTCTCAAAATTTGCAGTCGTCCAACCGATATTATCCAGAACGATAATCGATGTCACAAGCCCTCTACTGCAAATTGTTAACCTTTTTCCCGCAACCAAGACAATTTATTGCGATAACGAGGCGGCCTTCAATTCCGAGACCATCACTTCGATGCTCCGAAACGCCTACGGCATTTGCATTGTGAATGCGGCTCCGCTTCACAGCACCTCAAACGGCCAGGTGGAGCGCTTTCATAGCACCCTGACCGAAATTGCGAGATGCCTCAAGTTAGACAAGAAAATCAGCGACA